TTCAAGGTCGCATTTACAGTAGCACTGTACAAAATCCTTTTACATCTCAAATCAYTTTTGCACTTACATAAACATAAACATGAAGAAAACAATACCACCTTCATACCAGAATTTTAAGCTAAGATAAGTGTAAAATCTAAAAAATGATAAACAAAATACAAAACGTGCAAAATACCAACCTTCGCTGAGCTCTTCTGAACACTCGAACGAAATTTCAAATTCGAGCGGATCGAGGAAGAGAGAAGGATTTTCTTTGATCTCAACATGACAAAGATTAACTTTAGCCATATCAAGAAGTATTTAAAAAATCCAAGACTCCAGAAAGAAGAGGAAAACAGCGATAAAAGGACAAGGTACAAAAATTATTTCATTCTCACAAAATGGCGCGAAATTGCATGCATTCAAATCGCATGCGCTACAATTAGTCCCTCACGTTCACTGAATACACAGGTATCTCGGTCTATACTTGCGCAGGCAGCCCAGCCCCTTCACTAAATAAATTTTGTTGTAAACTGTATGTTTGTAATCTCTTGCATTCAGCAATAGCAATTCGAGAAATAACTCATCCCCCACGAGTCTCTCACGAATTGACTTCCGCCAGTTATAATATGAGCTCAAGCTCGGGTTAGCATCCTCTTCTTTTGAGAGGGACAGGAAGCCCAACAAGAGAGGAGGCTGCAAAGAAGACTTGGGGTTACCCGAATGGATATACTGTAATCGTAGATCATCTGCAAAAGTTCTACAAGATGCAGATCAAGATGTTCACCTTATCTGTTGATTATACTATACAAAGCTAAGTGTACAGGAGGACAAGGAAAAGGCGGTTGTTTAGTGGGGGACGATTTGGCATGCTGGGAGAACGGTCAGTGGGGTTTGCGTGGTGTTATGAGTTTTGGGAGGAGAGGCATCCTTCCACGAGCTAGTAGCTTTGTCGTCCCTGCTTTAAATTTGCCTAAATTACATTCAGACCTATTAATCAGGTATCAATTTACATNTACCACCTTCATACCAGAATTTTAAGCTAAGATAAGTGTAAAATCTAAAAAATGATAAACAAAATACAAAACGTGCAAAATACCAACCTTCGCTGAGCTCTTCTGAACACTCGAACGAAATTTCAAATTCGAGCGGATCGAGGAAGAGAGAAGGATTTTCTTTGATCTCAACATGACAAAGATTAACTTTAGCCATATCAAGAAGTATTTAAAAAATCCAAGACTCCAGAAAGAAGAGGAAAACAGCGATAAAAGGACAAGGTACAAAAATTATTTCATTCTCACAAAATGGCGCGAAATTGCATGCATTCAAATCGCATGCGCTACAATTAGTCCCTCACGTTCACTGAATACACAGGTATCTCGGTCTATACTTGCGCAGGCAGCCCAGCCCCTTCACTAAATAAATTTTGTTGTAAACTGTATGTTTGTAATCTCTTGCATTCAGCAATAGCAATTCGAGAAATAACTCATCCCCCACGAGTCTCTCACGAATTGACTTCCGCCAGTTATAATATGAGCTCAAGCTCGGGTTAGCATCCTCTTCTTTTGAGAGGGACAGGAAGCCCAACAAGAGAGGAGGCTGCAAAGAAGACTTGGGGTTACCCGAATGGATATACTGTAATCGTAGATCATCTGCAAAAGTTCTACAAGATGCAGATCAAGATGTTCACCTTATCTGTTGATTATACTATACAAAGCTAAGTGTACAGGAGGACAAGGAAAAGGCGGTTGTTTAGTGGGGGACGATTTGGCATGCTGGGAGAACGGTCAGTGGGGTTTGCGTGGTGTTATCAGTGAGTTTTGGGAGGAGAGGCATCCTTCCACGAGCTAGTAGCTTTGTCGTCACTGCTTTAAATTTGCCTAAATTACATTCAGACCTATTAATCAGGTATCAATTWACATAAATTGTCGCTCGGTTTTGAGTTGTATCAGGAGTACATAAGGAGAAGTGAGAAGTCTATGTCCGGGTAATCTAGCCAAGCAATCACAACGCGCGTCCTTGCAAGTCCCTATTTTCAGAGACGTGACACTGTACACCGATTCGAAAAATGGCGAAAAGTCTAAATAATAATTGTTGGACAAGAAKAGTAGCTCTTCAGTCGTGCTATCACACGACCAAGAGATAAGTCAGTATAAAACAATTCTTAAGGCCCCTTACACTTTCGATTTTTGCAGACTGATTCTAGCGGCATCGTTGCGCGACCATCGCCTGAGTTTCGAACATGCTTGAAAATTGGTTACAATTCGGATAATTGGTTACAATTATSGCAGGGCTGAGTACACGTATGCAATTTAGCCGCGATTTTCAGATTTGGTATAAAGGTTTAAATCTCATCAAATAAATCAAGATAAATACCACCACGATTGTCAATCACAAACTTAGTATTTAATTAGAATGTACGTATAATATTATATTTTTGTTATCATATGATTATCTACAGCAAGCGGAGGTCTAACTCATCATGTCTGGAGGGTTATTTCTGAAGGAAAGCAATCTATCGCGTCCGGAGGGCCTGTGAAAGAATCAAGCGACTTTCTATATTATCGTAGAGAACAGTATGCTATTTGAAGTGCACACACACACATGACGTCATTTTTATATGACTAAAATCATATAAGCGTTTTGGGTGGTCAGACAAGTCCTAAAAATATGATTTTACATAATATTTTAGATGGTTATTAAGCTCTTGGTGGATTGGTCGAGAATCGTGTGCTATATCAAAGTACGCAAGCACGGATGACGTCATTCAATCTTACGTGCGTTCTGATTGTTGAGAACCATGCAATGCGCGCGCTCTGTTGTGTTTTCCCGTTTGGCATTAATATCAGGAATACCTAGTTCAGGGATTCAATTTGAGCAAAGACCCCTACGTGAATGCGGAAACCCATCCAAGTTCTCGTCTAGGTTCACGGAGCTCTTATCTGAACGATTGGTCCTAAAAAAAAAGACTACGCTCAAATGCTCCACGTATGTCAGTCTAGGCTTTCATACTCGACGTTCCTGAGTACGCTTGGAATGAAGAGATTTGGCACCCGAAACTGGAAATGAACGGATAGATAGATGAATGAACAGAAGGAAATGAGACAAATCAATTGCAAGAAAGACGAATATGAAAGTGAATGGTCTGAACCCAGGTGTAAGCGATTATATATGAAAAGAGGCGAACATTGTCGATCCTCATTACATACTTGGTCGATCCGTTGAATGCCTTCAACTTGCTGTCCCAGTTTTCAATGGATGACTATAGACTCATCTTTTTTTTCTGTTCTGTCGACTCTTTTTGAAATTTTCTCCATCCATGATGTTCTGCTGTTTTCGGTTCCTCCTCTTCTTCTTTTCATTTGTCTTTTTGTTCCTCTTCTTTCCTTTCTGTTTCTTTTTATCACAATCATCATCTTTTTTGACGGCCACACATTTAGCTTTGTCTTCAGCTTCTTGACTAATGAATATTGCTTCATTTTGAATGCCTTCGCATTGATCATCGCGTCAATCTACCCTTGACGAATCTTGCGATTTTCGGTTTCGTTATTTCCGTATCTCTATAGGCAATCTCTAATAGCCCTTCATACTTTAGAAGTTTGGTCGAGACTACGGGATCGACGACWGCACGCAAGCAGCTGTTTTAGGATCAACAATTGCTTTTTTTCGAGCTATCTTGATCAGCCGCCTTTCCCTCTTTGCAGACGAAACTTCAAATTCTCCAAACTTGCCATTGATAACAATTTTCTCGTCCTTRCTCGARGAGAATAGCTTGTAGGTTGCATAGCCTAAGATRGCTATGCCGCYAATTACGGCTCCACCAATCACAACCGTCTTTAAATTCAACATTTTTTAAAGAAAATATTTTGTATATTCACTCAACATCAATCAACGCTCACGTATAACAACGCAATTGTGACGTCGTTTTCTAATTAGATAATGTGGTTAATCAGATTATTGTGACGTCACTTCCCTCGACTCAAGCTCTTTTCAGTCGTGAATGTTATGAAAGTGAAGGAGTCGGAATCAAATGCAGCAAAATTAAATAATAAAGAGCATACTTCGAGCGCAGTTAATAAAATAAGACAATAATAAGAGTAGCGACTGGGTACGAGATTTTGAAATTGAAGAAAATCCATCGAAACACTAGTGAAATTTTGTCCATTTTTTAAAAAAACATTTATCGGGCACTTCTTGCTGGAAACATAAATGGAGTTTTCACTTTATATATTATAATTAGGGATGCTAATGATGGGAAGCATGATGGGAAATTTATCTCAAAAGGAGCATTTGTGTCAGWAATTGTTTCGTTTTGTGATAAGAAAAAAACAAAGTCAATATTCTTTATCATATACATGTACTGTCCAAGAATAATCAGTATATTTTCTTAAGGATAAAAATGTTCCCTTATCAAAGCATGATTTGAAATTTTGCGTTTATGTGCCAGTTTTTTTCTGTGTCAAGAAAACGCAAAACGAATGTGAGATATCGATACTGTAAATGCATCTGTACTAAACTTTGCGGCAAACTACTTTCTTAAGCTGCTTTCTTCTAGAATATACWGTCGTTGTAAATTAAATAAAATTACATTAAGAGCCACATAAATATAAGTCTGAATTGTGACTTTCTATACGGAGTACAATGACCTAGGTTTTTGAGTGAAAATTTCAAAGAAAATAAAATGTCAGCAATTTTACCATCCATAATGAATATGATTCTCAAACTGTCAGTTAGATTGTATCTTATGTTTCACCTGGGATTTTGGTCCTACTAAAATACGATAGAAACAAAAGTTCTGCTGCTACCCGGGGGGGGGGAGGTACTCCCTTATATTTGCTATACGGGGACGTGCCGCTGGCCAGGGTAGCCATGTTTTCCATGACTACAATTGTACATATTTGGTGTGTAACAGTTAGTATTTGTTTCATGGRTACATCRATCGCTATGAAGGCAATCAACARATCTCATTTCCACACCTGCACACGTTTGCCCAACTCACATTCCAGCAMAAATACTCGACCATCTGGTGCAACAGCAACATCATACGGATACTGCATTTGACCAAGACYTGAACCTTTTCTACCAAAGGAACKTATGAACTCGCCGTCTTGACTGAAGACTTGTACGCGGTGGTTGTTAACATCACAGACAAGAAGCATTTCTTTACCAAACACTGCAAGGGCAAGTYCACMAAAGCTATCAAACTGACCTTCACTGTTCCCYTTCTCTCCAAWTGTAGACAACAGAGTGCCATTKTCKCCAAAAACATAAACAGTGTTCTCGCGGTAAAAAGATACAAAGTACTTATTGTTASCATAAGCTAGTGAGCATGGAGGTCCGCGAACATGATCAGGAACATCCAGTTTGTTGCCACAGAGGTGATTATAACTTTTTTTATCAAGTAAATTCAAAAATGTCTCTTTAGTATTAAGAATATATCTCAAAAATGCTATATTTTGATTCGTTTTRCACATTTCTGAAATATATATTCCTTTAGATTGTTTGCAAATAGTTTTTTTGTAGTTGCCATCGGCGTCAAATTCTTTAATACAGCCACAACCGGTCAGCGGAWAATCGCTTATTAGTATTTTGTCTTCATTGAAGATAACCTGCMCTGGTTCAATCAGTTCATCGCCGGATCCTTCCCCACCAATGTCTCGCAAATGCTCTCCATCAGCATTAAACAATTCAACGCGACAGTCATTGAATTCCTTATTTAGCAGAGCAATTTCGCCGCGCTCGTTTACAGCAAGTGAAATAGGATCGGAAACCTCTTCGATATCAATTATCCCCAAGGCTTTAAACTCTGCTTTAGAATCAATTGTCTTAACATTCYGTGGTGAGTTCTCGATCTCTTTTCCTCCAATAATCATGGCCACAATTTTTGTCCGAAGGCTTCTCTGCTTTATACTTTACTRGGAATTTTCCAGTTTCAACTGAAGTCAATTCATTCGGTACGTTCTAATGGTAAAATTGCTGGTATGCCATCCAASGTAGGAATCGAAGCATCTTGGTGATCTTGTAAAATCTTTTGATCAGAACTCTGTTAACTCAATCATGTTAACCTCGATATTGAAGTAAAGATTTCGTTGCAAAAAATGCAATGCAAGTCSTAAAATCCCTTTCAGTTCTTTCAAGTCGTGCGAGTCAGCAATGTGTCAGGTTTACTTCCGGAACAATCGAGGGATCACGAGACACGTCACATGACTCGTTCATCACTATGACAGGAACGGCTGCTAACAAGAAATACTTTCAAGACCTATTTGGTATACTAGTCTCATGTGTTCTTTGTTTTTTTAAGAAGACAACTTTCTTCTTATACGAAAAGGATTACGAGAAGATTTATCATTTTACTACGTGTTTATAAATGTGGATATAATCCTTTTCGTATTCAAACTATATGCCCAAAAGAATATATTTAACTTTCTTCTTCTTTTTCTTTTTTTCCTGTTTTTTTTTTCTTTTTTTTTTTACCGGTGCCTCTCTATTTTGTATTGAACATTTTCCCTTTGAAGTAGCTTTCTGCGCGTTACTCTACTATTCACTGTACAAAAACAACTTCAAATTTGCTTTGGAAGTCATTGAARAAATTGTTGAAAGTTACACTTTCCTGCACTTGCTACTTCTGTGACAAGTTGTGTGACAGCTGATATGACTCATCACTGATAGCTGTTTTTATTGGTGGGTTTTCTTTGTAGAAATGACGTCCGTGACGACAGTATAGATACCACATCAATATTTCGCAATCGAAGAGAAGAATATATGAAAAGTGAATGTGTTGACCCAAAAGCAGATCACTTCGTCTAGGRCTTGACTTTGATCAAGACTGCAATCTTTCTTAGTCTAAAGGTAAGTCTTGCCATCGGAGAATTTTTATCTTTCTAAGCTTCGATTTCAGTGTGAAAGAAATTTCGAAACAGTTTACATTTTGAGATGGCTACGAGTCGAAACGAGAACTCACAGAAGTCAAAGCTAGCGATAAGGGTTTAAACGCAAGTATAGTTTAACATGAACACAATGATCATGACTGGACTGTGTTAGAATTCCAGAGATCTCCAGACGCAGTTGACGAATTTTGCCGTTTCAAACCGTGAGTACTGGGTTGACCTCAAGTTAAGGTCATCCCAGTATGTTATGGATCAAAAAAATTCAAAAGATTACTGAATGGGTGCTGAATATGAAACCCAGAATACTCTGAATCGAAAAAAAACTGCTAAAGCTTCGAAAGCTAATAAAATAAGGTAAATGTCTTTTTTTGACTACTTCGTAATTTTTCTAATTGTTGTGCAAAGACTACATTTTTCAGGTAGTGACGTCAAAAGAGGGTCTCAATGAGGTTAACCGTGAGCCGTGAAACGGCTGAAAAATTAGCCGTGAGTTGTGAAAATGCGAAAAAATAGCCGTGAGGCGTGAAAATTTTTATAGCGTGAGCCGTGATTCAGTTTTGTCCCTCAGAAGGACAGTCAACTCCGATGCAGGCGCGCGTTTGTAATTTTTTTTTGTAAATTTATTTGTAAATGCTCTATTCGCAGAGTAGCTCATTTAGTGCATCGAAGACCTTAATTGAGCGGGAGCCTGCGTCACCGCTAAGTGTGGCAAGAAATTAAAGCTGCTCGAAATAGAACGTTACAATAATGAATCGACATCTTTTTTTAGATTGCTAATAAAGTTATAAAAGATTTTTTAATTCTTAGATAGTATTTTTGGGACAGTTGTTTTGTACATTTTAAAACTCCCGCTCATTTAGTGCATCGAAGACCTTAATTAATTGAGCGGGAGCCTTCGTCACGCTAAGTGAGACAAGAAGCTAAAGCTGCTCGAAATAGAACGTTATAATATGAATCGACATCTTTTTTTTAGATTGCTAATAAAGATATAAAAGATTTTTTTTGCCAAAACAAAACTAGCACTCATTTAGWATGTTAGTACATCGAAGACTTTGAGCGGGAGCCGATCATGTATCCACTTCGTAAAAAAAGACTGTTCTCGGGAAAGTGAAACACAAGAGATGACAATAATTATGCAAAAATAAATAAATAAATAAAAAAGACAAACAATAAATAAGATAAAAAGGAAAAAACAAAATCATTAAATGTCTCCTCCAGGGAATCGATCCCGCTACCGTCAAACCTACATTGGATTTGCAAGAGGCGCCTTAACGCGGTGCGCCACTGGAYCACTMTCATTTRCATAATAATAGACCACTTGACACTTTCACCGAATAGACTACCCCAATTTGACATTATACTTTCGATAGTTGCCTAGTTAGTGCAAGGGGTTATCCATTAGTGTCTAGGGGCCGGATAGCTTCTCCCTCACTGGCTTTTTAGTTAGCGCGAAGTTAGGGCCAATTATCGGGATAGCATGGAAGAGCCGAAATCTCTAACCGGAATGTAAATCGATTCGCCGCCTCAGCTTCACAGAATGTCTCGGGGKAATCGTCCCAACCTTTTTTCGATTTTATGGTCATGGGTTCGAATCCCAATACTCAAGTTTTTTTCTTTTTCATATTTCTTTTTTTTTTTTTTGCTTTTTGTTGTTGTCTTTGAATTAGCTTCCTATGCATTAATGTTTAATTACAAAATCTGCAGAATCATTTAGTAATTACTTCTATATATTTTCTGTAATGTGATATTTTAAAGCGCGCTTTCATTGGATTGTTTTCATTAAACGGCGTATAATAAGTTTTCACAGTTATGTTTGCTATTCGTACGGACATGGCATATATCTGACATTTTAAAGTAATTATATAAGATATCGATTTTAAAATACTATATAATTTTGTTTAGAGTCAAATGACAATATGAATACTACAAACTTCCTGATTTTACCATGCACATTTAGCCCGGCATAGAATACATCATAGCGAAAAGCGACACTTGATGAAATTTCGTAAACTCCGATGTCAGACACGGACTGCAGCAATGTCACTACTATGTTCTCAATACCTGCTATTAACACTTTTTGCATTTTATTTGTGTGTGTGTGTATTATGAATTTATGATTAATCATTTTTTCGTGGAAATAGTCGCATTTCGGCTTATTTGAAATAGAAAAATCCATGTCCGTACGAATAAGTCACGCAGTCTATTCATACGAAAAAAGAAAAAGCAATGAAAAACGTAATTCAAAAATTTCTAAAARTAATCTAATTAACCGTGAATCGAAAAGATCAGTCGTGTGTCGTGAAATCGCCAAATTTTTAGCCGTGGGTCGTGATGCGTACCACCCCATTGAGACCCTCTTAAAATAGTTGATTGCTCGATTTTTAGTAAAACGCAAATGCTCGTTTATGTTTATACAGCACTATAATCAATGCAAAATGGCTTCTGGATGGCCAGCAATTACAAACGAAAATACAAACTTTTCGCGTTTGTGTAGATTACTCATTGTTGTAGGAGCTTCTATGCTTAGGGAAACGTTTGATGTCAAACATTCGCCTCACGACCTGAATAAACATCTAATGGATCGTACTAATCATGGTATTTTGAATACATTGAAATCTAAAAACCTGTGGGACAAACTGTATCCACTTGAATGAATATCAACATCTGGAAGTTTTGACAAAACACTTTTAAGTTTACTATGACAATATCTGCGACTTGCAAACATCATAAAAGTATCGAACGATGAGACTGAAGCAACTGATATAGTAAGGGCTGAGATTATACCGTAACAAACTATACGCCAAGATCTCTCTGAACCACAGCTTTGTCAGACACTGATTTCAACAAGTACTGGAACGACATTGAAACTGTTTTGTTAAGACCTGGTGTAAGCAAGGCAGCCCCGGGGGGGAGAGGCGAAGGGGGGTAAGGGGGGAAGGGGGGGAGGGGAGAAGGGACTCCGGGGTAAAAGTATCGGGGATGCTCGTCGGATCTCTTTAGGGGTAAAAATTCGTGGTTGGGAATATTTTAGGGTGCCAATTTGGAGTTTCTGGAAATTTGCATTTCCTGCAATCTCTTAGGACTCTGAGGGTGTCTGAAAAAAGAGAAAGAGCGCGTCGGTAGTGAGTTTCTTCTGCGTTTTGCTTTGTCATTAAATGTTTTATACATTTTACCATTGGAACTGATTAAGTTTAACATAATTTGTTGTGCAATCTTTTAGGGGAGGCAATTAAGGCAGCCATTGATAGTCTTACGACACAATCTTCAAACGCTTAAAAGAATGGATTAGTCATGAGACTGATGAGTTATTAATGAAGTAAAGGAAGCTGAAACGACAGTGTTTGAAAAAGTTGAAAACATGGAGAACAAGGTGGACCAACTAAGCCGCGAAACTTCAAGGCCGGTAAAACATGAAGGTATGATAAAACGACCATCAGCTAGCCCTTCAGTTACAAATTGTTACATAAGAGTTTCTGATACACCGAATTTGAAAGAAACCTAGTTGTGTTCCTAAAGGTTATAGATGATCAAAGCTTAAACCGAAAAGGAGCATGGGAAAGGAAATGTTATTTTCAAAAATGGCACGATATGTCACGGTCGCCGACCAGGACACTGGGGACAAAACACTAAAACAAGGTCTGAAAGACCAGCCTCCGTATGGTAAACTTCGATGGTGTCTTGCAAGAGTGTTTTGTTATAAATAACATACTAATGCCATGCCGTACTTACCTTTCGAACTTTTGGACACTAGCCTACATGCGATCTTCGTAGCGATTTTCAGATGGGAGGCTTTTGAGGCCTCGTTTCCATGATTCGTCACTAGTTCCCTGATATTGGCGGTCATGAACTACCGCCATTTTTGAAAGTCGTGTATAACAGGTTTATTTTTTGCCATAGGATTACCTGCACTGAATAAAACCACCTTCTCTCGGAATAATATAATAATGTAACATATGAGTCCAATAATTTGAATTTCTAAGTACTGAAAACTCCCTTTAGTGTTTTCACCTTTTTGTATCGATAGTCACCTCGCAGCCGTTCTTAGTGGCGGGCTCCCTGTCCCACGCCCCACAAACGACTGCTACAATCAGGGCTATGATCGTTTTCTCCAATCACAGTTCATCTTTCATTTCCTTGCAGCAGTTCCCGCCAAAATTATTGACCAATAGAAACTCGCGTATTATAAGTGCGATCCAGTACTAAACATGGCGGGTAACATGATCGCGGACAGTTTTGTGTTTGCTGCTCAAAAAGAAGGAAAAGAGAAAGAGAAACGATCAAAGTCCTGATTGTAGCCGTTTTTGGGGCGGGGGACAGGGAGACCGCCATTAAGAACGGCTGCGAGGAGACTACTTTTTGTAACCAAACGTTATTTTTTTCAATTAGGTGTTTATCAAAATGTTCAAATCAATACTTTTATCCCTTTTTTCTCATAAATAGAATTGAGTCTCCAAAAACTCAAGGAAGCGATTGCAAAGCAGACAGAATTACAGCTAAAAAGGATAGCAGAATTAGAATCAATGAAAACCAACGATATTTTCACCAGGAACTTAATTGTTCACCACGGCAGTCCCGAAAAAGATAAGCCTAGTCATAAACCCGGATTGACTGACAAGGAAGATAGTCAAAGCTTTATTCAAACTCTACGTAACAAATTCCGGATGCAACGCAGTCAAGAGAATGAGAATTCTAAGAGAAGAGTTTCTGATGAACCAGGCGTTGCAATAGGGAAGCCATTCTTCTCACAAACACGTGTCCTCAGGGATTTTGACAAGACTTCAATGTCCCATCCGGGCATCAAGTTTACTTACCTGATTCCCTTTGACAAAGGTCTCAGTCTTGAAAAGCTGATCAATCTTTCCCCTTTGTTGGATGAAGCCACCATGATCGACGACACACTAATGGAGTATTTTATTCGGCATGCAGGGCAGCTGTTTATTGTTTTCGATGGATTTGACGAATGTAAAGAACAATTTAAAATTGTCGACGATGTTGAAGACCCCAGTGACATTAAAACCAAGATAAGGATATCATTGAATCGGTTTTCATGGTTATTCATAACCGGCATTTTCAATAGAGACATTTCAGAAAACGTTGAAGACTGAATACTGCATAGTACATTCCAAGACATTTAATGCATTGTTATTATCAAAATAAACTTCACGTTCGCTGCATTACAAAATGACATTTAATTCTAAGTTTAATTGCTTTCTATTGAAGACCCTGATGTTCGGAGCTGGTGTAGTCACCCTAAAACCACTTTGAAACCCCTTCTGAACGGCCACAGAACGACCAACAGCGCATTTTGGTCTTTGTATTGAATGTTTTCTGAATTGACTGTATACAATATAGGGTAATTGAACGAAGGACGTTGATGACCTAGCCTAGTAGGGGCCTATATTATAGGTTGGCGTTTTGACTGTTTCTGCTCGAATTTTTACGGCTGTGAAAACATTACTCGGTTGCGGAAATTTGCCGATTTTGCTGCGCAGACTACGGTGTCAATGCACTTTATTTGCATATTTGCAGTACAATAATATGCCCCATAATATATCATAAATGCAAGTCATGTAGGGTCCAATCAGAAATCAGTAAATCCAGGAACTTAGAGATGACACTTTAGAAATGAAATAAAACAAATCACGTGTTAAATGGAAGCTGCAGTTTGATTGGTTACGTGGTTCCAGTTAGAGTACCGTCTTTGTAATTAGAACTGAATTAGAATTCTAATGTTTTCACTTGAATTCGAGAAACTATGGAATGCCTAGGGGGCACTAAACAAAGCTTTGTATATCTGGATGTTTTGGTACAATAATAATCAAACTTTTCATCACCCCCCCCCCCCCCCCCCCCCCCATAGTTTCATAGTTTTTTCATGATTAAAGATAGAGGCTGCATTAGATATAACGTCTCTTGGACTTGGTTAAAGTCATAAAATTATTATTTTCTTCAGCCATCGAAAAGCCGTCATTTCGTCTTTTCCTTAAACAACAAAAATTCTGTAAATGCATTGTGACCTGGACGAAAATATAGATGCATCTAGTACTGGACTGCTATAATGAGCTGAGAAATCATAACATTTCGGATGATTGATATCACAAATTTAATATGGCTTGTCACACAAACTATGTACAACTAATTTTCCAGCCCAAATCTTGACTCACTCTGGATATATTTTCGCTTTGTCCTTTTGTTTTTGTTCTTCTTATTAATGAACTTTTAGTTTCGGTATTTTCTTTGTTTCGCGCGCTTTGCTATTTTGCTGTTACATATGTTGTTACACTTTTAATTTCACTTCATTTCCATCAAAATACCCACAATTCCTCTGATTTCCCATCACCCTAATCGGCCGCGATGACCAGTATATGTTTTGTGCAGTAACTATCACTCAGCATCTCGCCACGAAGAGGGCATGTGCACAACAAGTTCAAATATCGTTAAAATAGCTCGGAACTAAGTTCAAAAGTTTTTCACTAACATCTTTACCAAGTTCAGCTTGTCGTGCCTGATGGGAAAAAGGAGATAACAGAAATTGAAAACAAATAGTTTCTTCTTAATGTGAGTTAAGACTCTTTAAAGGCGGGTACGCAAGAGGCAGCTTGCTCCCGCAAGAGATTCGCCCCTCGAGCTGTCTCCATCATATTTAACCAATTTGATACGAGAGAGCAAAATTGTGGAGCAAAGGTTTTATTGTGCAACGTTTTTTCCGTCTTAAATCGTTGGTGCAAACGAGGAGGCCTTTACTCCGCGAGTATGTCGTAAGAGCAATCTCTCTCCTGTTTATGCTGCGCCCGACACGAAAAGGCACTCATGCCGCACTGAATTATGGGCAAGGGTTAATCCTCAGATACCCAAGTTCTCGTACAATCAATTTTAGGAAAAAGGAGCCATCCTCAGAATCCAGGTGTAATCCTGTGTTTATTGCTCGCAGAAGGTTTGACTCTGGATTTCCGAGGATGGTCTGTCGCCCCATGTAAGAGAGTCAAAGGAGCTAGAGATTGGATTCCGGATTCCAAGCCTTGACATTCCGAATTCTATAAAGAATGTATTTTTTGGATTTCAATTTTTCGCTAGATTCTGGACTCCAGGACACAGATTCCACAGATTCCACAGATTCCAGGGTGCGGATTCCGGATTCCAAAAATGTTTTTACTCGATTCCGGATTCTGGATACTCTAACATGGGGCGAGGTCTGTCATGATCAGAAAATTATTACCCTTGGGCTTCCGAAGATGAAAACTGAGAAAAACGCATTAAGATATAAAGAAATTACGTACCTTGAACTTTTGCCAGTCGCTATGACTACCCAAAGAGGCATTTGGTAAGCTTTTAGAGCGTTGCATACGTCGCTTTTGTATCACTGTTGTGTCAGGTGGAGGCAACGTTCTCGCATTGTCATCGCTCACATGTTCTTCTTTGACACTTGGTAAAGCAGAAAACTGGGCTGTTGCCAATACATTAGGTAAAGATGCCCGACGCCTCGCCAAGAGAGGAGCTTTAGCACTTGAATTCTTATAAAAAGTTAAAGATGATTTAGAAGCGAGATAAATGTAAAGAATTAGGGTTGTTGACGAAGGTCTGGTAAATAGTCGCCTTTCATTTATCATTGGTTTATGTTTTTCGKCAAGCACTTCTAAATGGAGGATCTGGAAAATCCTGTGATGATCAAGCCGAAAGATTTATATCCAACTAAGGGGTCGACCATTATAAAGATAACGGGGCGTGGATAGGACAAAAGCCGGAAAAAAACTTTATATTTAAAATTAACCCTGCGAAAAGCAATCAGTGTGCCATTTCAAAATCGCCTCATCCCTCCAATAATTAGTCTCCTCGCAGCCGTGTTTAATTCAAGTCACGTGTAACGCAGCCTCTCCAACCCGGCTGCTTCAAACAACGGCAGTTTCCGTTCAGGAGGGGTTGCGTTACGCGTGACCGAAACTAAACATGGCTGCGAGGAGACTATCCAATAATGCAAATAAGGCTGAAATCATGTTCATACCTCCCCCCGTGGTGTAGACGGTGGTGTTGGGTAAAAAACTGGCTGTTCGTGGATGGATTCCATTGAACTGTGGAAACTAGAGGTTGCACTTTTCTCTGACAGACATATCGATGGTATTTCTACTTGTTCGTTCTGTCCATTAATTGGTGGAAGGGTAAGACCGCTGGCTTTTAATCTAAATGACGAAACTGGCGTTGACGATCGAGTTGAGTACCGACTCGAAGGCCTATTAGCACGTGATCTTACATCACACTCGTTCATCGAGGAGTTCACACGAGGTAGGAGCATGCCGTCTGAGGCTCGCCGCTGTGTTAAGACATGACCAAACTGCGGGCTCAGAAGAACAATTTCTTCTTCGCACAAAGATAATTGGTCGGACGAGGGGAGGGACGGCGAGGGTGAAAATGGCCGTTGTACATATGTTGAGTCGATTGATTCTCTTTTCAGATGAGAGAAATTACCAGGGAAGAAATCTCGCGAWGACAACAGCTCAGGATCAGGAGGGATGACTCGAGGAATGTCATCGGTTGAAAAGCATCTCTTGGAGGAACTGCTTACAGACGGATCCCTTTCACTATGGTCTTCATTTTGATTGACGTCCAGGTATTTTTTACTACATTTTGATTTCATTAAAAGGTGTCTCCTTTGAGACATGAACAATGCTTTATTTTGCCCCCTGTCTGTATCCTTTTCTCTCGGATCTTCTTCATTACCCTCGTCATCCTAAGTGATATGAAAAAATAGTTTTGTCAAAGTAATATTACATGTTATCATATAATAATCTATAAAATACCTATATATTTTTTTATCATATAATTATATGTAAAATACCTATATTTCTCTATTTCTAAACTTATTGTTATTTTCATTAGTTAAAATAACACATTCGAGGTTTCTACATATACATATTGGAAGTAAATATCTGTATGATAAACAGAATATAACATGCTCACTTTGAGATATGAGTTTTATCTTCTCGTGCTGAAAATCTAGCCACGCTCACTCGTGAGATATGCCGGTTTTCATAATGCCAGCTAGAATAATACTACGGCGTAACATGCTAAATTGAGTAATTTCTGCATCGCCAAACGTCAAAGCTAATCAAGTGAACGCTTTTTTTTCTGTCTCTTTGTCCTTTTGATTTGTATATAAACTCGATGATTTTCTCGTGCATTAGCGCAGGACTATTGCTTTAAAAGCATTTTTTGCGTTTATTTTTTTAAAAGAAAGCTTAAAAGCTTAGTTGACGTTTACCATTAACATGAATCTAAAAAGATTAATGCGGAAATCAAGCATAGCGTATAAAGGTAAATCATTTTAATACTCTCTAATCACACCCTATAAAAGGCTGAGCTGTGTTTGTATGTAATCATTATTTTTCCTGTATGTTCCTCATTGTACGTTCTTTATATTCGAATGAGGGGGGAGGGGGTTGCTATATAATTCGGACCCGGGGGGGGGGGGGTACTCCCATATATTTGCTATACGGGGACGTGCCGTTGGCCAGGGTATGGTTTTTGGCCTTGCTGTCTTAAACAGGGTATACATTTCACCCGAAATTGTCTTAAACAGGCTCGACAATTTAGATAAAAGAGACCGATATAATTTTTTGTGTCTTGGACAGGGTAATATTTTCATCGTAGAAATACCGTTTCACTGTCCCAGAATTAACGTGTTATCAACTTTGATGGATGTCAGTATAATTGCAGTTTTGATGGTTGCGGCGTAGATAGCTATTCCTTATTTTTCCGATTTGTCTTGAACAGGGTATGGATTTTTACTTTTTAGTGTCTTAAACAGGGTCAGGGATTTAGACCGCTGGCGGCACGTACCTATCCAAAACGGGGTCGAGTGCCCCCCCCCCCCCCCCCGGGAATTCGGATCCAAGGTAGATATCACAAGCTGCGCGCTGATCGTCGAATACGACGAAAATTTGAAATTTTTAGAAAAGTTTCTCCAGCACAGAGTGGGAAGAGAAATTTTTAGCCAATCAGCGTGAGCCTCTGATCCAGAATACTCCAGTTTTGAGATCTTGTTTGTGCAGCCTTAACCTCGAAAGCATGTAATATATTCTTTTATTCAGCAGAGATCCTATTGTAATACAAACTCTCTGCTTGCAAAGAAGGCAATAAAAAATTAAGCTTGATTGAAGCTAAGCTTGCACAAAAGAGAATTCGAGACTGGAGTATTGTCATTTAACAACGCAAGAGTACATGAGAGTACCTTTGAGTCTAATAACTACAATGCCTTTCGGTCCTGGAAATGGAATGCTCTACGCAGTTAGTCACATGTTTATTATGAAACGTTTTGAAAAGTCTAAATTCTGGCATCCACGTACAAGAGCATTAATTTTTTATCCATTTGTATATATAAATGTGTAATACTTTGTCTTTTAGTCTAAATCTCAGAGAGCAATTCTTTTATCGATACGTCCGCGACGACCGCCATTTTGAAATCTGAAATAGCACATGCCTAAAGGGCAGAAAATGCAATGGTACGTAGAAATGTAAGAATTTTATTAGATATGGCCACAATACAGTAATTATAAATCGTTTATTTTGTATATTTAAAGTCGATAGTTGTGGTAAGACTGGTAAATAGTACTAAGACTAAAGATAGAAAACTCGTGACTTGGTGGCGACGAAGCATTGAGTTTTCATATGATAGAGTTTCCAATATTTCTTCAGGGTTTATAATTATCGATGTTTAGTCTTATCTGTAGTGTAGGTCACGTATTGAACACCTGCCGGAGAAATGCAGATTACTAAGTGACTTGCGTGGCGGCGCAGGAATCAAATAACTTCAAACTAAACTTGATTTCAACAGGTTTTCTCGTTTCAGATTTTATTTAAGAAATATAAAAAGTGTTCGTGTGTCTCTATCCTCTGATATAAACAAGGTAGAAGTTAAAAAACACGAGAGAAAGTAAGTCTCGAGTGTTTTTTTTACAAAGCGGCCGTTTTATAGTTCTTTTATAAACTTTTCTGCGTTTTTCGAGCGAAAAACAAATTTTGCCGGTAAGCCGTGTCTTTGAACTCTGATATAAACACGGTCCTCAGCCAATCAGAGCGCGAGTTATATATCAAAAATTTTATAAATGCTACTAAAGTAATTGGGTATGTCTAATAAGCATTGGAAATATTAAAATCAAGTGTGGCAAATGTTGTCCAATGGGATTTAGTAAGAAGGCTTTCTTTATTATAAAATTAATAAAAAAATTCTAAAGCTAAAGAGACAAGTCAAGAGTCAGTATGTTGGTTTAAAAAAGCTTTCAATAAATAATTTATCAAAATTGAAGCATTGAATGAAGCAGAAATCCAGTCAATCTCAAGGTGAGTAAAAAATTAATAAATAAATCGTCTATCTCGTACTTTAGAATTTTGACATGTTCCTCATCAAGGAAATAATGCTCCTTATGAATTTTCTATTGGCGCTTTGTGCATTTCAGTCCATGCGCTTTCCATTCAGAACTGACATGGCTAGGCGAGAATTCAATTATTTTTCAATCCGTTCCGGCAGAAGAATTGTTTTACAAATCCTTTTCAATAGTATAATGGAAAATCTTGACTAACGCTATGACTTATACCTCTAAATAGCAGGGGCGGATCGAGAGGTGCCTTGGTTGCGGACCCATTTTTTTTTATATCGGTATAAACGTTTTTTCTGCTGTTCATACTCCACCTGTTGTACTTTTCAGTATCGCGAAAACAAGTAGCATACACAACATGTGTCTGTCACTATCAAAACCGTCCTATCTGCTATACTTTGTTTTTAGCTATATGTTAGCAACGAAAGAACCCCCTCCCCCCCCCCTCCGCTTATAAAATGCTGGGTCGGCCCCTGAATAGACCGGTCTGGCCGGCCAGTTCTGTCTAATTATAGGCCGTTTGTATTATGACGTAACTTTACTACAACTACCAGAGAGCCTTGCGCATTTTCATTGTTATTCAGGTTTTTAATCCCCTTGGAAATTAATAAAACAATTGGCACCAATTGCATTACAAAAGAAAGTTGGCAAAGCATTCTGGTAGTGGTAGTAAATGACGCCATAATGCATATCGCCTATTCTGTCTTTCTTTTTGTGGATATTAGTTTAGCTTTAAAAGGCTAAGAAAATCAATAATTTATCAAAATTAAATTTTTGGATAAAGCAAAATGAAATGTCATTCAGTCTCCGAATGGGTAAGAAAAACGAATATTTCCTGTCATTATTATTACATGTGTCTACGAATTGTTGTGAAGACATATTGATCTTTTAAACCGTGTGATAAATTATTTATACCTTAAAATGTTTCTTCAATTTGAAGATGTATGTTTTTTTTTTAATTTGGTGTTTGGTATATTAACCGCAAAGGTGTAGATCCCAAAAGGCTAAAACAGTCCTACCGTCTTTTTTTAATAAAATTGGCAGCGACTAAAATAATGATAATAATAACAATAATGATAATGATGATGATGACGATGATGATGATGATAAATATGTATGGGATGTTTACAGCCATGTGGACATGGCATGCCGTGAAAAAAGACCTATATACTTATCCTGAATCTATAGAGTGAGGTCATTAAACGTCTTAAACCCGTGAAACAAACTTTAATTATAAGTGTGATAATGCAATAGACTCAAGAAAACAATGCAATTTAGGGCGAACTTAGGTGTAGTCTATTAGTGTAGTTTCTATGTCAAGGATTTTTCGACTTCATTCTAAGACGATTGAGTTGATTTCTGTACTAATTTCGCGCCATGACGTGATGTAAGAAAAACATTCCAGACCCATTTGAGGCGCTCACGGTTTTATCAAAGGAAATGTGACATGGGAATGCGTTGAATGAGAAAGTGCCGCAAATAAAGCTTATGGTAAAACCACATAACTTTTTAACGAATTATCTCCCGTTTGTTCTAAATTGGTTATCTATGTTTAGTTGTTAAGCTAGCTTGACTTAGTAAATCAGATTTAAAACTATTAGCCTTTTAACATGTTTTTGTTTTCAAACACGACGAAAAAATTATTTTAAAGTTGACATCAACAAAGTTTAAAAAAAATAAGAACATCTCATTCAAAAGCCAGTCTTCCTTCCTGAGGAATAAATTATAAATACAAATACTGTGTATTTGAAATGTGCTTTCATTAAACATRAATTACACACACAAAAATGTGCTTGATAACGCATATTCTATAAGAAAATGTGAAACTTATAMCCGCGTCGTTAATGAATCTAGAACTATTTCGGAAAAATATTCTTCATTCCATGGACGCGGCTGATGAAATGAAGTGAAATTCTTAGTTCCCAAATGAAATTAGAAAAAAAATATTTCAAAAAAAAAATTCTACGGAAGCATTAGCACATACTCGCGCCATTGTGATTACTCCTGTTAGGATTAACACTTGAAGGCAAAAAATCGTTAATCAGAACTTCAAAAATTATCTCCTCAAAATAACCTGTTGGGGAAAATATAATGAAAACAGTACAAAAATAAACGAAATTCAATTACAGATGAATTGTGGATTGCGGTTATAGATACTAGCGTGGACCCTAACAACCCAAACCTGCATTAAACAAAAATTATATTTTCCGCATGGTCCATAACCAAATTGACCAAATATATTCATGAAATTGTTCATTGCTTAAATTGTAGACGACGAATTGTCAAGGATAAAAGAAGAATGAGTCCGSCTTAATTTGTCATAAAATGACCTTTGGGATTGATTGAATCAAAATATGTTTGAAGCTGGCTAAAATGTTTATTTGTGGCACGACCAAAACATACTTTGAAACGCCATGACGCAAATTGATATTTCAGTATGGCTTTCTTTAATTCATTATCAACATGCATTCAGGTTATTTCAATTATTTAAAAATATTTTACGAGCAAAATAAACTACTAAAAGGGCATTCAAGGATTTGTTTTTCATTTCCTAAAATACCATACTCTCCCTTTCAAWTTTTTTATTATTTTATTTTGTTTTCGTCAACGGATGCAAATATGTCTTCGTATTTTTATTTTGTCATCCGTTATTCGTGAATATTTCATTTGAATTKTATTTTTTGATATTGAATGGTTGTTTTCACTTACCAAAATGTCAGGATCCATTGCGGTGCTGACTCCCTCCAGCCATCGATTAACCATAGGAACAAGAGATTCTATAGACATTTCTTTTTGACTAATGTTTTCACTGACTGAAAAACAAATATCAATAAGATGTCAGTTCACACCTTTTCTGTAGTGGCATCTTCGATGCTAGCATATTCTCGGGATTTAAACCAATAGATTTTCCTCTTGCCAATACATAAGCCAGAATGTATATGCATGACTTTGACCAGCTGAAGCGCTGATTGGCTGATATTGGTTGATTTATTACACGACTATCAACATACTTCCTTTGCAAAGTGAATGGAAAATACCCGATTATGTTGGACCCGTAAGACCTCTAAAACCCACTTATTCTACAGAGAAAGAAGCTCTGAGAATGCGCTTAAAATGTATTTGCCAAACAATCCCCAAACATTTATTGGATGTTAATCTGACTAAATTGAAAACACTTTGAAATAAATAAGGATGTTTTAAGGGGGTACTCTGAACGGTCCAAGCTTTGTAAAAAAGGAAAGGTGCATTTGTTAAGTACCCAGCTCTTTGCCAAGTTCCCGCATTTTATGTTCGATAAAATTTCTCTTATCGGTGAATACAATTCTCGGCTTTCGGTCTTTTATCAATTGGATTGGGCCAAGACAAAAGCCGATGTAATTACTCTTTAGGGGAGATGTGTTCATTACACATTGTTTTTTAGAACTTGAGCGCCCAAAATGGTGTGAAATACTTATTAATTTCATCCCTTTTGATGGATKGCCAGTGGCGATGACATTGGATAAACTAGTCGCTTCCCATCTTATGTAAAATTGTTTTTAAAAGCAATTGTATATCTACAGATTAGATGCCTTTTTCCATAGTATGGGAATTTSAATGTTGTATATGTCTCCGTGAATTTTCTACCGATAGTATATGTAAATTCCCTGTAATCTTTTAACTGCTTACTTTGCCGGTAAATCGAAATTGACATTTGAGTACAAAATATGTACGCCATACGCTTAGCTGTAAGAATTTGACTTTGGCTACGCGTAAGATTGCAATTATAAATGAATTGAGAATTAAGTTTTGAAAATACGTCTTTTGATATCAACTCGCCATGACGATATTTCCATTGATAAGTCTCCCTTTTTCACTTTATAATCATTTTGTGAACATAATATTTTATTTTACGTTTCGGTAATAGATGGTATTTGAATTTTAGTCTTCAAGAGACAGGATTTTCGAGACGGTGAAGAATGTTTGAAGAAAACAAAGCTAGGTTTGCCAAACGAAAGAGATGTTGATAAGACAACATATATTTTGCTAATTACAGCCGGAGTGAGTTTTTGACAAACAAATGCAGACGTCATATGGTGCAAATGCCGGTTAGAAGCCAAATTGTTGAAAGGTTAAAAAAAACATCACGAAATGATTATAATTATATCAATAATTGCCATATTAGCGGGTGATAAACAACCACGTCTGCATGCTTTTTGGTGCATACAGATATTTAGCAGAGAAGGCACCAAGTGTTCAGACCACTACATGGTCAGCCATCATCAAGGCCAGGACAAAAAACAAATTGACAATTTTTCCTTGTCAAGGAATAGCGAACAGAGCCAGGGCAAAAAACAATTGAAAAAAATACGAAATTTAATTTGCAGACTTTGCACCGCGTGAAAAACTAAATTGATCCGTTAGAGTGGTTTTCATTAATCCGTGAAACACACTTATCGCTATTACGCTTTGGCTCTTTTGTTTTTTTTATTGTCTCTACGCGACTGTTACGATCTATTACACTCTAATTATTACACTTTGTTTCACGGGTTTATGAAAACCACTCTATATGCAATTTATTACTTAATTTTTAGTGCTTGGCGCATTTACAAAAATTTTACATCGTTTTGCAAAGAGCCTGACCGCCAACACCTGATAGTAATGTCAGATGCATTATGGGTAATTGCAAGTGAATATCGCACATTTATCGTCCAATAAGATTGCAAATCAATCAAAAACTCTTTGAAATTATACATATTTAGCGTTATTGGATATTCTGCAGTTTATTGACAAATTAAAGGTTTTTTAAATATCAATGAATATGTTTTTTTAGAGGATGTTAAATAAGGTCAAATAACTGTTATYCCTCCTTCGACGCACTAACTTTGGACGCACAGAAAACACAAGATTTGTTTGATTTCTTGTGTTTTCTGTGCGTCGAAGGAGGGATAACAGTTATTTGACCATACCTCTAAAATGAAGTTTAGAAAGTCCTTTAAGATCCAAATCCAACAAATATCAAGAAATGAATATGTTCCGAGGATAATAAACAATAATAACATTCAAATATGATCAGCGATGGCTTCGAAATTACGTGATATCATTAATGAATTTCTTGCTTACTAGGAAATAATGAATGATATCCAATAATTTGATCTTTTTAACAAGGAATTGAGTTCAAATACATGACATGACAATAAAGTCGAAAAAGCCTACCATCCTTGAGGCATTTTCGRTAGTGAAATCACTGGAAATAACTATATCAAAAATCTACACCTAATTTATGATATCATCTAAAAAGAAGTAAATATACACTTTTTACCGATAGAGATGGATTGCCCAGAGGACATTTGAGAAATTTATACTCTCTGCAGCTTAAAGTCACTGATAGTTATATCGAAAAAGGTTACCCGCACAGAGAGGGAGAGTGAGCGACTGGAGGTACCTAATTCGTACTAATTTTCGCGAGCACTTAATTTCGCGAATTTGGAACACAAATATTACGGGAGCATTAATTTTCGCGATTTTGAAAAAAGGATAAATTTAGTGCATTTAATTKCGCAAAAATTGAAAACAGGCGGACAGACAGACTTTTTTATTGAATGATTACTTAAACAATAATCGATTTACAATGAAGATTTTCATATAAAGAAGTGAAATGATTAAATCAGAAGTGTATTAAATTTCACCTGTATAATATTCACGTATCCTTAGTTTCGCGAGGTTTTAATTTCGCAATTTTTTAAAATCGCGAACATCGCGAAATTAAAAGSCTAACGAAAATTAKTACAAAAAAAGTAACTGTTGATMTTGATTATTGATAGTGATATTCACCCATACTAAACGAGGCAACCAATACTTCTTTCCCGTTAAATGAAGGTCTTCGATAATGGTTTGATACGATCAAATGTGAAAAAAATCTACTGTCAAGCACATTTGGAATTGCCAAAAGGTTTTCAAGTAGATAAATAACATTCACTGAATTATAGCTAATGAATAAGTGAGAAATCATAGCTTCCGGAGATTCGGCAAATGATGTAAAAACCTTGAGGAAATCTTTACCCATCAATTAATTACATAGAAAGCGAGCACTAAAAGCTTGAGAAAGTTTTAGATAGCACAATATAGTATAGATTAGATGATTGAAAACAAAGGCATTCGCATGAATACTAAAGTTTTTCACGGTTTTAGACCCTGTTTTAAATACATGAGATAGGTGCCCCTAGTGGTAGGGCYAAAATCCTTTGTTATAAAACGTCCTCCAGTGAAAAGAAAAAGAGTTAGCCTTACAACGTAGGGGCACCCTATCTCATGTAAACAGGGTCTTAGTGTTTGTACTCAAATTGAATCGAATTAAAAGACGTTTTTCGTGCGGAGACACATGCAGCAACAGTGTACTTTGTCTCATATCTGGCAGTGCAAAATCAAATTGTGAAATAGAAGTAAAAAAGGAAATATTGATCCAGCTCTTAACCCGGCTCARGCCAGGCTTTTCAATGTAAAAAGTGAAATGCTCAGTTCTGTTATACAGTGTATCATTAAGAGTTTTTGCATGTACAATATGGACTGCATCTATAGTTTCAATGGCGGATCCAGGGAGGGGAAAGGGATGCTGTACAGTGTAACATTCATAACATGACATGTAGAAACTATAGTAAACCGAACGCCAAGACRGTAATATTGTTTGCTTGTATAAAGCAAACATCTCATTTTTTAAATAACTTTTTATAAAGCTATTTTTTGTGCCTCGTATTAATATATCTTGTTGCTAATCTTCCCCATTGTCTTAAYCTCTGTGCTAAGAAATCTATTTTTGGAATAAGGGTTTATTTTTAGACATGCAGCAGTTTTCAGGTGCACTAATTCTGAGTGTGTCCTAATGAACTATAAGAAGAAGTTGTGTCACTAAAAAATTATAACACAGGTTTTTGAAGAGTTTGGAGAATTCGCTTACAGAAAGTTATTAGTCGCTATAGTGAGATGGAAATTAATCAATCATTAAAGCTAGTGGTAGATTATTTTCTTCGATGATATTAGCCATCAGAAAATTAATATATGATTAATTTTAATATTGATGGTACTTTTTTGGTCAATTTCTTCGAAAAACTCTTAATTTTKTAGCACTTGTTAAACTACGATTCTTCAGTAGTTCTTGGCATTAGCTGGTCTAGTACTGAGTACCGATTACTGCAGTAGAATATCGTACGGATATCGTAACAGGATAYTTTCGAAACGGAATGAGATATAGAGCGATAATTGCTTTATGAATCATTCGGGGGAATCATTCATGATTTATATAGTCAACAGTTTCTGACACCTCTCCACAGAAGTATAAACACACACAAAAAAAACATTTATATCATTATATTATTTTTTGGACTAGCAAGAACCGATCTAGGATATCATAGTTTTCTCGCTCTTTCAGGGCAAGCAGACGGAGGAACAAGCATCAAGCTAAAGTTTTCCAGGATTCAGACTTTTTATGTGGTCTATAGCTCAACAGAGCTCTTGTTAATATGCGTTTTCAGGGACACATTTAAAAGAGAATTCAGTAAGCGTTCCGTGTACTACATTCAGTTAAAAAAATATGCGCTGTATAGAGTACAAACACTAAAACTGTGCAACATAAATACCACCAAATACTGCTAAATTATGCTAATTCTAGTATTGTTTTCTATCGTTTAGTTGTAAACATTTAAAGTGTTGCACACATTTAATGTTTGTACTCTACTCTCAAACAATCTTCAGTCATCAACTATGTAAATTAGAGAAGAAAAGCTTAAGTAGAAACAGGTCTTTTTTAAGTACATGTCAACTTTATAAACAGTGTTTAAGAGTGTTTAATGATGTAGCGTATACTTCATTAAACACGTATGCCTATCAAAAGTTTCTTACGTTAAGCATTTAAGTCAATAGAGGAGCTCTTACCAGCCTTGGTGCTGATTACAGCAGACGCCATATCACACATCCTTCATGAAACACTGTWCGGTTATAAACTAAAACTTAATAGATGCATAACACATTTTTAATGCTCTTTTCTTTCTTAAGGATTAGCGACAAATATGCAATAAAATCAGACACGATTGTTCTCCAAAGTACACAATATGATTATCAAATAGAGATAAAAATATTTTTAAAATTATTTATCCGAGAAGCAATCAGATTGAACAAGGGGAAAAATCTCAACGCAAGTCAAATTAATGTTACATGTAAAATGTAGTTATTTTTTTAGATTCTACGGAGAGATTTAATTGTTTACAGTTCCTATTGATAGCACAATATAATATGGCTAACAATACCGGTCTAATCCTCCATTGTTATATCCCTATCAAAGCATTATGAAGTTGAAGAGCTTTCCAACAATTTTTCATTCATAGGTCTTACAAAGAATGATTCGCATGTGTTCCGGGTCAAATACTTCAGTACTTTGAGTGAGGGTGGGTGTATTTGAGTTGAAGTCATTATTTACTACTTCGTTCATATGGTGAATGAGAATCCAACATGGGAGGCTCCCGCATGTCTAATTACGTGACGATGTGACTAAAGGAGATTATTTAGAAATCCTATTAACAAAAGTTATTGTTCAAGCAGTGCACTGTCAGAGGTAAGACGAATGCACGTATAAGAGTGATCGTGATGATTTAGATCCTTATTAGTCAGGCTAGTCATAGGGCTGGGTCGACTTTAGTTCTACCGTTTTTCTAACCATCTATATGGTCGCGTTTGGATCACACATGTGCAGATCGCAGCCAGCTTCGAGTAGTATGATTACGTAACTGAATTAATGACCTAAGTTACGTAACTGAATTAATGGGCAAAGGTTTCAAATTAGAACAAAAAGAAACTTGTTAAAAGAAACTTTCTTGATCAATAACAAAAGTCCACAAGTAAGAATCCTGCATAAAAAATTGCACACTTTTTTCTTTTCTGCTACAATTTTGACTGAATTGCAAAGTGAAATTGCTTTTAACACGGGCCATTTTGAAAGTGAATGACAACGTTTTATACGTTTACATTGCAACTATGACTGTTTTTTTTATGAAGTTATTGCCCTTTAATCATATTGCTCTCACGTGACATATCACGTGTCATCATCCTGACGCTGCACGCGTGTAGCATGAATCGAATTTAAGTTATTGCCCTTGAATCAAACATGGCCAATCTCACGTGCCATATCACGTGGCATCATCATGACGCTGCACGCGTGTAGCATGAATCGAATTTGAATCAAACATGGCCACTCTCACGTGCCATATCACGTGGCATCATCCAAACACTGCACGCGTGTTGCAGGCATGAATCTAATAATTGACTGTCCAGATTCGCTGGATATTCGTATACAATTATTGCTTTGCGAGCAATTTTAGAGAAATCGAAGGTTATAGAGCAAAGAAAATACGTTTCTACTTTTTTTCTGTAAAATTGTTATTGTATCGAGAAATGTCGTCTAAGTACCCAAAAAGTGTAAAAATGTGTATAAAATAAAAAAAATAAATAATTTGTAAAATTTCTTAGTGGAAGCTACGTACTGGCTACTAAGTGAATTCAGTATTTTCAACAATAACATTTATCAAATTTGACAAATATTGTGAAAAAAATGCATTTAGACTGTGGGGTTTTGAATAACCGGCTCCTCATGCACTTAGACGATACAGAATGTAAGTTTTATAATTCTTTTTAACCGTTTTCTAAACTATTTGTAAAATGCTTTCTGAGTCGAATCTGAGTGATTCTCGTCGTTTAATTATCAATCCGCAGCGGCATATTTTGTGTAAGGGATAAGAGCTGATATCGAGCATGAGTCGAGCATGCCCAAGCTTTACAGTGGATATATATGAGNTATTACAAAGTTTCTTTGCAAATTTAACGTCACTAAATAAAGGTCGAAAATCCTTTAGAAGAGCATTCAATGAGATGTCTTCACAAAAGCGTAAGTTGAAAAACAACAACTGCGAAAAACAACAGCTTGGCTTCCATCAATCCCATGTTGCATCTCGCGAACGTCATCAGGGAWAAGGACCATTTACTATGACGACAAACCAATAACAAAACAGAACAGCAATAGTTTAATACTAATTTATTTTATCTAAAACACCGAGCAAATAATTAGGAGAAGTAGGCCGCTARTAGATAATTATATTTTAGTCAATAACCGTTGATTAACTATGCCTTTGTGYTAGAATGAGACGGCGCTTGATCTTGCAATGACGCTTATTGATAAGTGTGCAAAAAAAGTTACTTATTTATCATTGCAACAGCATTCAAACGATATTCCGCTTAGAAGACGTATGTTACCTTTCAAGTGGTTTCAAGATTGTTCTAGAAAGCGCAAAAAAAGTATCGCAAACTTAAAGTTTAGTCATCATTCAGAACTACAACCAATTACTTCGGTTCTTTGTTGTTTTTTTTGTTGTTGTTTTTTTTTTTTTTTTCTTTTTTTGGTTTAATCTGTTTTGTTGTTATTTTTTTCTATCTTTGCCTTCTTTTTATAACATTTAACTCCATGTCTTGCATACTAACGCATTTCTTCAATGTCTTAACTTTTTATCGCAATTATATTCTGACGTCCACAGCCACTCCTACGTTCCTTTATTTCACAGCCGCGGTGGAGTTAGCTGGAATGGGTTGAAGCTACTACCAAACCAGGTCTCTGGATATCAAAACCATGGAGTTTCTTCAGAAGGCGACAAAATCATTTGACTAAGTTGGATTTTAAAGAAAGATAATTTAGCTACGAGCTTTTTAACTCCAAATGGAGATTTTTTTTGTTTATTTGACAAAGATTGTCTAGTCGACCGCCAGTCGACAAATATGGGATCTTGGCATGGTTAATTGACGGCTGTTGTTCTCTGTACAAAAAAAGATAAAAATTATATTAACTTTGCTTTATTCAATAAAAAAGTATTAGAATTATTAAAGATGCCAGAGCTTGAAAACACTTTTTKGGTCCATGTTCAATGGACCTTCATYGCGTTGCACGGATGATGTTACATAACTGCTGATCTAAATGTCTAGAAAACTTGCTTGAAGTCAGAGTCAACTTAATTTTATATCTATAACCCTTGATAATTTTAGGATTCCATGATAAAAAACATTTTTGGAGTCTAATAAACGCCAAGATCTGATAAAAGTTGTCATATCGCAGGTGAACATTTCCACCCTCTTACTAAGTCATTATTCATTAAAAACAAACCTTTGTGCCTTCKGGCCACTCGAAATTTTTAGGATTTTCGAAGAGGTCGCACATGCTTTTTACTATTCCTGGACGCGGACTGGTGACTTCGCCATCAGGAGCTAAAAAAAAATAAATAAATTAGAGAGAATTGAATGTGCTTGGTACCAATGGAGTCATCTTTGGAGATTTCTTATCTTTCTTTGGCTGTCTTTCCAGTTTTCAGTGCCCTTTTGGTAAATAAGACATTTGTGCGATCAAGGGCGGTTCCCATCTTAAAATTGCTCAGCCCCCTTCCTCCTTAAAATTTCAGCTGGATCCGCCCTTGACGATAGCGTCATATTAGGACCAGAATGCTTTGYCCACTTTCTATTGTTGTGTAATTTTTCCCAACAGAACATTTTTTTTTGTTATTTAGATTTTTAATCCCTTTGAAGTTAGTAAAACAATTGGCACTAGTTACATCACTAAAGAAAGTGGGCAAAATCTTCTAGTTTTGACGTCATCGTGCAAATAAGACATTGTCAGAAAAGTCTTCCGAAATGAACAATGCAATCAGTCTACAGGATGACTATTTTGAATATGGTAACAATTATGCTAATTTGTTCTGAATGTTCCGGTCACAGCTCATTGTTCCCCTAATGAATACCTGTCATAAGCAAAGCTCAGCGCTGCTGGAGAAAGACTTTTCTGAAATGTAATTAACTGGAATACGGAATGATTCATTCTGACCAAAGGGTCTCAATGGGGTGGTACGCATCACGACTCACGGCTAGAAATTTGGCGATTTCACGACTCACGACTAATTTTTTCGAATCACGGTTAACTAGATTACTTTTAGAAATTTTTGAATTACGTTTTTCATTGCTTTTTTTTCGTATGAATAGA